CAAATATTTTATTGAGGGGGCCAAAGCCCCCACAACCCCTTGGAGTTCATTCCTATGCCTTGGGACTATCTACAGTCCCACCTTCCTCAAGTGCTTTTTCCCTGGCTGGAATATTTCCTTGAACTGTGATAAGGCCTCTTTACTCCCGATCCTACCTGGAGATGCTGAGGACTGAACCTGGACCTTTCACATATTAAACCTTTACCACTGAGCTTCAGTCTTCCCTAAGATGTCCCCAGATGATTAGCCAAGATGGGTCTAGAGGCTCATAAGGCACACACAAATCCAGTCTCTAAAATTGGATTGAAATCATGCTTTCTTCCACTAGGAAAGAATGGCTCTGAGGATGTTGACAAGCACACAGAAGTGTGCTTCTTCTTCTAAGTCCACTGTCAGGATATGGATCCTTTGACCCTCATGACATTGTTGAAATACAAGTCCCCTCATCCCCAGCCAGCTTAACCAGGGATGATGGGGGTTGCAGCCTGACAAGATCGTGGACCCAACGCTGAAGAACAAGGACATGGCTATTGCTAATATCCACGGGATAAGGCTCTCTTCCAGGAATGTATCTAATCTGTTTGTAAAGTCTTCCAAGTGGGTGGCCAACACCACATCCTATGGTGAAGAATTCCTTGCTAATGATGTGTTGTGTGTGAGGAAAGCCTTCCTTCCTTTATTTTGCATTTTCTGCTGAAAGCAGACCATCCAAGTGTCCCTACTTTCCTGGGATGTCTCTGATTTAGAGAAGCTGTCCTGGTTTCTGATTTGATCCTGGAATGTCCTGCTTTTCCTTAGGATGTCACTATTTTCTTTGGAGAAATGTTGGAGGGTACGGTAAGGTAAAGGTACCCCTGACCATTAGGTCCAGTCATGGATGACTCTGGGGTTGCGTGCTCATCTCACTCTATAGGCTGATGGAGCCGGCATTTGTCCACAGACAGCTTCCAGGTCATGTGGCCAGCATGACTAAGCCACTTCTGGCGAAGCAGAGCAGCACATGGAAATGCTGTTTACCTTCCCGCTGGAGCGGTACCTATTTATCTACTTGCACTTGACGTGCTTTCGAACTGCTAGGTTGGCAGAAGCTGGGACTGAACAACAGGAGCTCACCCTGTCGCTGGCATTCGAACTGCCGACCTTCTGATCGGCAAGCCCTAGGCTCTATGGTTTAGATCACAGCGCCACCCACGTTCCCTTGGAGGGTATGGTAGGATGTCCCTATTTTCACTGGAGGTTATGGAGTTATCAGACCCCTGAGCTGTCAGAAGGCAATCCTGTATAGGGAGGTTTTTTAAAAAATGTTTAATGTTTCATTATGTTTTTATATATGTTGAAATATGCCCAGGGAGGTTGGGGCAACCTAGTAAGATTGTTGGGGTATAAATAGTAAAATTATCATTATGGAATGGGACGTCCCTATTTTCATCGGAGAAATGTTGGAGAGTATGTGAAGGCACTGCCTGATTTGAGTTCCGCAACAGGTGAAGCACTTTCCAGGTGGACAGGGCTGCCAACCTCTCTTTGGCACCCCCCTCTTTTTTTATGTCTGCTAGGTGGCAGGATTGATCTTCTCCCACCGGCCTTCGCTCTGCAACTGTACTTTTGAGCTTTGGTGCCTGGCTGCCTCCCTAGATGGAATTGGCTGCCTGCCACAATTTTAATTTGACTAACTCTCTGAAAGCAGGGATGGGGTTCCTCAAGCCTGAGGGCCTCTAGGGCTTGCCACCAGCCATCTCTGACCTGCTGGGAGCCTGAGGGCCCTTTTCCTGCCTCACTCCACTTCGGGTTACAGATGCTTCAGGTTACAGACTCCGGTAACCCAGAAATAGTACCTTGGGTTAAGAACTTTGCTTCAGAATGAGAACAGAAATAGCACAAAGGTGGCGAGGCGGCATGCAAGAGTCCCCATTAGCTAAAGTGGTACCTCGGGTTAAGAATGGTTTCAGGTTAAGAATGGACCTCCGGAATGAATTAAGTCCTTAACCCGAGGTACCACTGTATTTATTTTTATGACTGCTTTGCGATGTTTGTAACTATTTACTGTATTTTCCTGTGTATAACACTAAAGAAAATGAGGGGGGGTTGCCCAAAGTTGTTGAGCTTCTTTTGGGGATGATTGCTGAAAATCACTCACCCGCCTGACCTTCACTGCCACTTGCACTCGTCGCTAAAGATGCCTATCGTCTGTCCCATCACAGGCAGAGGCCGCCAATCACCCGCCTAATTGATGCAGCGACAGCCAATCAACACCAGCCCTTGCCTCAGCCAACAATAACGCGCCCAATAGCCGCTGACAATCTCTGGCTCGCAGAACCAACCAATCCCACGTCCCCCCTATGCACTATCCAACCCCTAATTTTTAGCATAATTTTTAAATAAAAAAACATCGTCTTATACACAGAAAGGTACGGCAAATCTTTTCATATTGCAAGCCACCTTGAGCATTGTTTTAACTGTGGAAAGGCGGCATACAGAAAAAATGATGATGGTGATCTCTTTTCTGGAGGCTTCTTTAACTTCACTGCACAAAGTCTGAATCCCGATTCCTGCTGCCTTGACTGATCTGCAGCTCCAGAATCCCGTCTTTCCTGCCTGAGCAGGGTCAAGAGATGAGGAGCAAGCCTTGCCGCCAAGTTCCATACACCCAGGTTGGTTCTTTCAAAGCTCGTCTGACAGCCAAGCTCTTTCCAGGTCCCTGACCCCAGAACAAATATCCCCCTGGGCACTCAGCTGCTTCTCAAACACCCGGGCAATGGCTCCTTGGAGCTCTGTCCCCACACACAGGCAACCCACACATCACCTCTGTTGACAAAGCCAGAAATAACAGCGACGTCTCTCTCTCCCCTGGTGAATGGGGGCTCTCTCTCAAGCCCTGAGCTCTCCCCTGTGACACTATCAATATTTAGAAATGTGGCGACTTCCAGGCCTCAGTGATTTATAAGGGAACAGGGCTGTCAGGCAGGGTTCCTGTTCGCCTTGCTTGTGGTTGCTACAGATGAGCAGTGTCTGTTAGCAAGGCTGTCCCAAGGGAGAGGTGGCAGGGGGTGGGGGTGGGGGTGTAAGAGAGAGGATTCAGCAAAGGCTGGGTTTGCAAAAGGGTGCACAAGAAAGGTCCCTCCAAGAAGGGTGGTGCTTTTTAAAATTTGCACGTGGGGGGAGAGATATTCTGTAATGTGCTTTAGTGGTGGATTTATTATACTGGACTGGTCACACACATACCATTCCCCTTTGTTAGCTGTTCCTAGAGGTGTAAGAAGGCATCGTTTTCTGTCCTGCCCTGATTTTGATGCCTGCCCCAATGTCTCGGTTCTGCTGCAGATCATCTTCCCCCCCAAAAAAACCTACATCACTCGTCTTGGCATTGGCTGTGCTGAAATGATGCAACTTAGGCAATTTATGTGATTAGCTTTGAAAGTGATGTAAATTTTGTTGTCATTTCTCCAACCCATTCATTTCAATGCAAAGGCAGCAAACTGCAGAATGGTGGGAGCATAATCCATTACGTATCGCTTGTAGACTGAAAGCAAGAACAATAGTGCATATTGATAATATTTGCTGGACTGATTTCCATTCAGGACAAATAATCAAACATCAGCAATTGCCATTCCCATTTCTGTCTGTATTTTCTGACATCTGCCCCCACCCCCAAACAGAGCAACAGTTTCTGGAGTTCTCTGGGAAGAGGGATTGAATGTTAAACCACTCTGGGAATTGGAGCTTGGTGAGGTGGATGGGATCTCCTAACAGCAATGAAACACCCTTAACAAACTACAACTCCCAGGATTCTTTGGGGGAAGCCATGATGGTTTAAAGTCTTGTGACAATGCTTGAAATGGATAGTGCAGGTTGTCTGAGCGACTCAACAGAGATAGGATGGAAATCAAAGGCATAATGAACGGAGACAGCTTCCAAGAAATGTGGACCCCTTTCTTTTAACTATGTTAATAATCAAAATCAAGATCTTCTTATACCAGCCACTCAATATTCTCCGTGGAGAGGTTGAATAAATAATAACAATAACAATTTATTATTTATACCCTGCCCATCTGGGTTTCCCAGCCACTCTGGGCGGCTCCCAACCGAATATTAAAAACAATGCAGCATCAGACATTAAAAACTTCCCTAAACAGGGCTGCCTTCAGATGTCTTCTAAAAGTCATAAAGCTGTTTAATTCCTTGACATCCGGTGGGAGGGCATTCCACAGGGTGGGTGCCACCACTGAGAAAGCCCTGTGCCTGGTTCCCTGTAACTTCACTTCTCGCAGTGCGGGAACCGCCAGAAGGCCCTCGGCGCTGGACCTCAGTGTCTGGGCAGAACGATGGGGGTGGAGACGCTCCTTCAGTGTTTACTGGTTATTGCATTTGTTTGTTTAAAAATCAATAAAAAATTGTTGTTATTTTTTAAAAAAAACATGGATAGTGCAGATGGCATCCCAGGGGTGCAGCGGAAACAGAACCCAGCAGAGAGCAGTTGTGGGACATCTTTCAGAGCAGGAAGTATGGTTCCTTCTACCCGAGTGCAAGATGAACTAATGGACCCTCCTTGTTCTGGCATGCGAAGACCCTTATGGTCAGGGAGCTGTCAAAACTGACAGATTACCATCCAACCTCTGTTTGAAAACCTCCAGTGAAGGTTTTAAGCATGTTAGTGAACGTGGCTAAATTAACAGCCATTAATTTCCATTAGTGGGTTTACTCTGAGTAACTGAGTACAACCCCTTCCACCCCATTTTCTGCTAGGTGATATATATATATATATATATATATATATATATATATATATATATGAAATTACATTTAAATTGTATGTAAAAAAGAATGGAGGACTGGATCTAGCTCAGACAGGTCTCCCTGAGCACACCAGAGCCCATGGGCCAAGTTTGACAGGACAGTGAGAGCACCTAGCCACCAATCACTTAACATAGAATCATAGATAGGTAGAGTTGGAGGTGACCATGAGGGGCATCTAGTCCAACCCACTGCAGAGCGGGAATCTTTTTACCCGATGTGGGGCTCAAACCCATGACCCTGAGATTAAGAGTCTCATTCTACCAACTGAGCTATGTGACACCAGGTTATGTGTTGATGAACTGCTGATCACTGGGACCCTCCGTAGTGTTATGCATAGCTGATAACCTGCAAACCTCTTTGGCCAGGCTTCATCTACCCAACACCTGCGGCCCTTTATAATTTCAGGAGTACAGCAGAGGGCCTTCTCGGTAGTGGCGCCCGCCCTGTGGAACACCCTCCCATCAGATGTCAAGGAAATAAACAACTATCTGACTCTTAGAAGACATCTGAAGGCAGTCCTGCTTAGAGAAGTTTGCCATGTTTGATGTTTTATTGTGTTTTTAATGTTCTGTTGGGAGCCGCCCAGAGTGTCTGGGGAAATCCAGCCAGATTGGTGGGTTATAAATAATAAATTATTATTATATTATAAAATTATTATTCTGGCTTGACCAAAGGAGCCTTGAAAGTCAAATGAAGATGAATTGTGAACTGAAGGAAGCTCCAAGTCCAGAAGTGCCCCAACCCCCATTCTAAGGAATCAATTCAAAATGGTATTTAACCTAAGGAAATAGAATTGTATTGCATTGGTTTAATTCAGTGGTCACTAATAAGGTGTTAATTTAATAAAGGTAAAGGTAAAGGTACCCCTGACCGTTAGGTCCAGTCACAGACGACTCTGGGGTTGCGGCACTCATCTCGCTCTATAGGCCGAGGGAGCTGGCGTTTGTCCGCAGACAGCTTCCGGGTCACTTGGCCAGCATGACTAAGCCGCTTCTGGCGAAACCAGAGCAGCGCACAGAAACGCCATTTACCTTCCCGCTGGAGCGGTACCTATTTATCTACTTGCACATACTTTTGAACTGCTAGGTTGGCAGGAGCTGGGACCGAGCAATGGGAGCTCACCCCATCGTGGGGATTTGAACTGCCGACCTTCTGATTGGCAAGCCCTAGGCTCTGTGGTTTAGACCACAGCACTACCCACGTCCCTGCTAATTTAATAGTATTAGCTAATAAAAAATATAGTAAGGTGAACTGTGGTGAATATTATTTTGATTTCTTTTAGAATTTTGCTGGAAAGAGTTTGTATGCTTACAAAGAATTGCATTGTTACTTTAAAAACATTGTTGTTGTTTTTCAGAAATGTGTTAATCTAATAACAAGTATTCTAGTAATGGTTAAAACTGCTGCTGTTGGCATCTGTCTGGGGTGACAATGGAAAATATTTAGGCATTTCCCCTAAAAATGCATTTCTTGTATTTCTCCCTAAGTTGCACATTTTTGTATCCCAGAATTTTCTGCAGAAAAAAACTTCACTCACATATCAATTGTTTGCGACGCCTTAATTGCTTAACTTCCAAAGTTGTTCGTTTTCTGTTGGGTAGTTTCATGCTGCCATCTGTTGACCAGCAGAGTGCATTGCTACTGGATTTGCTATGGCATTAGAAAGCCTGTGGGGAACAATTCTTTTATAATTTTATGCTTGAAACAGGCTTCAAGAAGCTCCACAGCACTGAAAGTGGAGCACCATGAAAATATGAGATGGAAACCCAGGACCTGAAAAACAAACAAACAGTACTGTCACTTCTGCTATATTTACAGCTGGTCAGCTCTGAACAAAAGAGGAATCTGTTGAACCAAGCCATATATATATATGCCATATTCAAGAGAAAGCAATTCTTGGCAGCATCTAGAAGCGCATAGTATGGATGATGACGATGATTCTGCATTTTTACCTGATAGGGACTCAAAGCAGCTTAAAATAGGAACAGCTAAAAACATAGGGGGGATCATTAACATACATACGTATGTACATACATAACAAGATCCATTTAAAGCCACATAGTAAAGGTAAAGGGACCCCTGACCATTAGGTCCAGTCATGACTGACTCTGGGGTTGCAGTGCTCATCTCGCTTTATTGGCCGAGGGAGCCGGCATACAGCTTCCAGGTCATGTGGCCAGCATGACTAAGTCGCTTCCAGGGAACCAGAGCAGCGCTTGGAAATGTCGTTTACCTTCCCGCTGGAGCGGTACCTATTTATCTACTTGCACTTTGACGTGCTTTCGAACTGCTAGGTTGGCAGGAGCAGGGACTGAGCAACGGGAGCTCAGCCCGTTGCGGAGATTCGAACCACCGACCTTCTGATCGGCAAGTCCTAGGCTTTGTGGTTTAACTCACAGCACCACCCACGTCCCTTTAAAGCCACATAGATTATTACAATAAAAACAGCACAACATCAGCTCATTCATTAAAGAGCAGTCAGTTCCCCAGAGCCTGTTGGAATAAGAAAGTCTTCACATGTTGATGGAAGGACAACAAAGGAGCTGTTCTACCTTCTCCAGAAAGGGTGTTCTAGAATCTGGGAGCACCCATGGAGAAAGCCGTCTCTCATGTCCCCACCAAGTGTGCCTGTGGAAGACTGAGATAAGGGGGTTCCTCTGAAGATCTCAAAACCTGGGCAGGTTCATATGTAAGTAAGGAAGTAAGTAAAGTAAATTTTTATTTATACCCCACCCTCCCCAGCCAAGATCGGGCTCAGGGCGGCTAACATCAAATATCAAATACATTAAAACACAATCAAACAATTGATTCAAATACAGCTTAAAAATTAGAATTATGATAAAATTAAATGACTGCCCATGAATTATAACCATAGGGATCGGGGACCTCAAGTATTCATCAGGGCCAGCTATCCATGTTGGTCCCACATGAGCCGATAAAAGGGCCAAAGAGGCATCTTGCAGGGTCCCATAGAGGGGGGTCAAACTGGGCCCAGACCGAAAGCCAGCTCCATATTGCAGGCCCTGCGGAAGGATGTCAAGTCCCGCAGGGCCCTGGTCTCCTGTGATAGAACTGGGGCCAAAGCCAAAAAGGTCCTGGCCCTGGTTGAGGCCAGTTTAACCTCCTTGAGGCCTGGGACCTCCAAGATATTATTATCTGCAGACCGTAGGGTCCTCCGTGGGGCATACCAGGAGAGGCGGTCCCGTACATACGAGGGTCCTACGCCGTATGAAGATATACTGTCTCAATTGGCTAGTGCCTTATGAAGTCACAAGATGACTTCCACTCCAGAGTAGCTTAACCAATGTCAACATTTATTGCCTTGTCTTCTGGAAGACAATAAGGTGAGGAAAGTACAATTGATTGAATATTTGAGCCATGCATTAAGATATCCTGACAGGCCGACAGCTTGCCTGAGAAATGAGGAGAGGTGTATGAAGACAGATGAGGTGTTTAATTCCTTCTACAGCTTTCTGTGGTTCTATTTTTCTCCTGCTTCGAAGATATCCTTCTGACCGAAATCATGACATTCATTCATTGAAGTCTGTACATTCAGAGCTCGTGGTCATATGGAGAAAGAGGAAGCGCATGCAAGAAAGTTGTGGTTTCTCTTATGTAGTTCTATCCTGGGAGGTGTAGACAAATCTATGTTGCAGCCAAATTTGGAGTACTTCACCTCAAAAAGGATGTTTGAAAAGTTGGGAAAGGTTCACAAAAGGGGAACCAAAATGATTCAAGGCATGGAGGAAGGAGTATTGGGGACTTCCTAGGAGGTAATAATAATAATAATAATAATAATAATAATAATAATAATAATAGTATCCCACCCATCTGACTGGGTTGTGCCAGCTACTCTGGGCGGCTTCCAACATCTATAAAAACATAATAAAACACTCAACATTAGAAAGCGTCCTTCAGAGGTTATATAGCTACTCATCTCTTTGACATCTGGGCTGGATCTACAGTGTTGTTGTTTAGTCGTGTCCGACTCTTTGTGACCCCATGGACCAGAGCACACCAGGCACTCCTATCTTCCACTGCCTCCTGCAGTTTGGTCAAACTCATGCTGGTAGCTTCAAGAACACTGTCCAACCATCTCATCCTCTGTCGTCCCCTTCTCCTTGTGCCCTCAATAGGTCTACAGTATCTACAGTAGATATGTCAAAAAAAGGTTTTAGGAAAACAGGTTGTAGAGCTCATAATGGGAAATCACGTTGCCAAAGGACCGAACTCTACAGCGCTATCTGGTGTCACAGTGTTATGATGCATGAATGAATTTATTAATACGGTCACAGACCAGCGTCAACACACACAATATCACAGATCATAAAAAAAAAATCAAAAATACAGAGGACAATATGAGTATAACAAGCATTTTAATATAAAAAATTAAAATTAATTATTAGCGTGCCCCCTGTAATTAACATTTGGGGGTTTGGTCATTATGGGATACCACTTGCTTCCTGCGATTAATTGCAGACGCACAGAATTTGGCTACATTTAATGTAGTCTTGGGATTCTTGTCCTCTAGCAGTAGTTTTAAACTATGGTGTTCCGATTCTTTCCTGGACTTTTGCAAAACAGGTGTAATAAAAGTCAAACGTATATCCTCATAAAGACGACAACGTAATAGTACATGTGAAGCAGTTTCAACTTCCAACGAGCCACAGGGGCAGACCCGTGCTGTGTATGGTTTACCCTCAAATCTGCCCGTGTTATGATGCACTTAAATAGGGTTGCCATATGTCAGGAATTTCCTGGACATAGCCGGAATACTGCAGCAGGAAGTGGTGTCCTGGGTGGAAATTGGGAAAAAGAAAGAAAGGAAAGTCTGGGAAAATCTGGACGTATGTCAACCCATGTGGTCAGTGTCTTATGCATGACACGGAGAAAGTGGATTGAGAAAGGCTCCTCTCCTTCTTTCATAACACTAGAACTTGAAGCTGAATGCTGGAAGATTCAGGACAGAGAAAAGAAAGGACAGCACATAGTTAAAGTATGGAACTTGTTCCCACAGGAGGTAGAGGATTAGACAAATTAATGTGTGCTGGTCCCGGGGGGCGGGGGGTTACCATGTGGCGTGGTCTAAGTCCAGTCCTAGGTTGAGGGTAAGGAGGCTGTCCGTCAGGGGCGAAGCGAGGTCCAAAGCGAGGAGTCAGGCGTGGTCAGGAACTCAGGAGAGCAGGTCAGGGTGCCGGCAGGAACAGGTTACCAACGATGTTGCTCCCGCAACCTGGGACTGGGCTGACTGGCCTTTATCTTCTCTGAGGCATAGGCCCACAGTTGACTTGCCTCTCCTGGCCTTAAGGCGAGCACTCCTCCTGTGAGAACTTAGTTCCCTCCGCCTCTCTGCCCTGAGCCTCTGCAGCTCCGGAGAGGCTGGAGGGTTACTGGACCCAGAGGCAACCTCACCTTCCCCTGACAGGGCTGGGAGAGGAGCACCTGCAGACAATGGGTCCTCCATCACCTCCGGAGCCAGAGCGGATTCAGCTGGTGTCTGCTCCTGAGGATCCGGCACAGGTGAGGGCCCTTCAGGTTCAAGCCCCTGCCCCAGCTCAGCCGGCCCTGGAGGTGGGGACTCCTGTGCAGGCTGGGATTCCTCAGGTTCAGCCTCTGAATCAGATTCCCAGGCCATCACATAATGGAGGAAAGGGCTCTGCCTCCATGGCTGATGGCAGCAATGAATACCAGTTGCTGGAAACCATCTGTTTGGCCACTGCGAGAATGCGATCCTCGACTAGATGGGCCATTGGCCTGACCCAGCAGACTCTTCATATGCTCTTAGCAACAGAAGCACCATCTTGCAGCTTCCTCTTCCTTTTCCGCTCTTCATTCCCCTCCTTCTCCTCCAGCCCTCCTCACTCGTACTCAGATAATGCACAGCAAAGATTGAAAATAAATATGTAAAGACGATGTGTAGCATTGCCCAGGGTAAACAGAAAGCAGCAAACAGATTGCCTGCACAGATATCCAATATTAGAGCAATGCTGATTTGTACTAATATACGGGAGGTTCATAAATAAATAACAAAATATAAAGAAAGAAACCGGAATAGATGATTAATATTTTACAGGGCTCCTAATAATATATGCAGCAGAATATTCCCTTCAATCCTGGCACACCAATCCATAAACAAATATGCTCTGTTTTTCAATGAATAAATGATTAGATTTCCCTCCTTTCCCTCACCCTGGTTATGTTTGCTAGCTTTTACCATGGTTACTGGTTCCTGAGTCCTCAAAATCCATTTCTCTAACCAAAACTCCTGTCTATTCACATCACCCACTTCTCATGAGTAACACACGGTGGAAGCTCTTGCTAAACCTGAATCCAGGAGGAGCAAAACACAGGTCAGAGAGTAAACCCGCAGAGCTGCAAAGGAAGACCTTTGCTTATCCCACTCAACACTGCAGGGGGGAATAAGCCTCCAGCAAAAGGAGAGGCAGTGTGGTGTAGTGGTTACAGCAGGTTCAACTCCCTACTTGACCAGGAAGCTGACCTTGGGCTAGTCGCTGGGTTGTATTTAGCTAAGCTTCAATCAGAGTAGGCCCATTGAAATTAAGTTGGTCATGTCCATTAATCTCAGTAGGTCTTTTCTCAGTAGGTCTCAACTAGGGCCAGGGCCTTTTCAGCACTGGCCCCGACTTGGTGGAACACTCTGTCATAAGAGACCAGGGCCCTGCGGGATTTGACAACTTTCCACAGGGCCTGCAAGACGGAGCTGTTCTGCCTGGCCTTCGGCTTAGACTCACTCTGACCCCTTACATGGGATTTGGTACATAAATTTTCTCTTGGATTTTTTGCTGGCCCATGTAGGACCAGCATGGATAGCTGGCTCGGGTGAATATTTGATGTTTCCTCCCTTTATGGTCTTGATTTATGGGCTACTACTAAAATGAGGCTGCATTTTAAGCTGCATTTTAAGCTGCATTTTAATTAACTGTTCGTTTGTTTTTGTTTTCTATTACATTTTATTGTACTTTATATTTGGTGTTAGCCGCCCTGATTATTATTAATATTATTATTAGGACTAACCCATTTCCCACTTCAGCCAAATCTACCTCACAAGGTCGTTTTGAGGGCAAAATTGAGAACAGGGGGAAAACCATCTACGCCACTTTGAGCTCATCAGAGAAAAGCTGGAATGCAAATGTAATACAGTGGTACCTCGGGGTGCAAACAGGAGCCCCATTCGCATCCTGAAGCAAACGCAACCCACGTCCGTGCATCTGCGCGTGCGCGAGTTGCGTTTTACCACTTCTGCACATGCGCGTGACGTCATTTTGACCATCTGCGCATGTGCGTGCGACGAAACCCAGAAGTAACGCGCTCCTTTACTTCCGGGTCGCCGCAGAGTGCAACCCGAAAATACTTAACTTGAAGCACATTTATCCTGAGGTACGACTGTAATAAATAAATGACTAGGGCTGGGAACTGTAATTTGTTAAGGGGGCTGAAAGCCACATAGAGCTACACTTTCCAGAGTGCTCTGGAAAGAGGGATTGATTGTTGAACCACTCTGGCAGCTCTGTGAAGGGAATAGGGGTCTTCTAACAGCTCTCACCACCTGTACCCCTATGGAACAGAACATGACAACTGACCCCAACCTCTCAGTACAAGGGTTCAGATGGCAACAATGGAAATGAATGCTTCAACTTATTCAAACAAACTGAATGCAATGTACAAATATCATGTCAGCAGGGGGAGCCAAAGACTACAAATCTGCAGGTGTTTAGAAAGATGGGATGTTAAAATAACCAGTTGTGCACTTGGTGGGGGGGATAGTAATGGAGAAGAAAACAAACCAAGAAGAAAACAAACCACATCATAGACGTGGAGGTGACCTGAAGCCCATCAAGTTTTTTTAAAATGAGAGGAATACTTCCATACCAATAGCAAACTCCATCTTTCAGTGTAGATAATTAAGCAGCTAGACTGGAGGCATCAGCAGATCTGCGACAACCCAGGGTTTTCGGGAGAACGGAAAAAAATATTCAGTAGGTTCAGAATTTTGACTGGCTATTGGAGAGCAAAAAGAAGGAGGAGAAAAAGGAGGGTGGGAGAAAATTAAGTCTAACCCTCTAGCATCTGTTTGCAGTTAAGCCACCTAAGGAGCACAATTCAGGTTATAACAGCAGAGGGACATGGGGACAGAGGCAGTTTTAGGGTAGCATGACCAGTTCAGCAACAGTGATGCAGAATGGAGTGCAAAAGG